TTTAGAGACAGGGTCTGGCTGAGTGGCTTAGGGCCTCAATGTTGCTGAGGCTGGCTTGGAACTCGCACCCTCCTGCCTCAGCTGCGCCCAGCATTCCGCGTCTCTGGACGGGTGCGTGGAAGCCGTGGAGCAATGAATTCCTAGAAACAGGACCGTGTAGGGACAGGTGCCACAGCCTCTTGGGTTTGTATCTCTGTCCCCATCACTTGAGTTTCTGCCTTGCGAAACGCTTGACGGGAGCCAGGGAACACAGGAGTCCATCCAGGGTGGGAGCCGGTGGCTCTGACACGGGATGGTGACTGTGGTCGGGTCCCTTGCAGCAGAGGAGTCGGCAATGAGAGGGCGCTTTCCTAAGCCAGCGCCAACCTCCTCACCCCAAAGGCCCAGACTTTAAACGCAAATGATGGGGCATCACACCCGCCACACTTGAGTTTGGCCTTGGCAGGTAGAGTGTGGATGGAGCCTTTGACTGGGCGTTGGGACAGGTGAGCACTGGCTCTGCTGGGAGCCAAACAGAGCTGGTTCAGATTCAGTGCTGTGTGACCCTGGGCTAGTGAATCCCCCTTTCTGGGCCTCCATCTTTGTCTTACTCTCCCTCCCTGCTTTTCTAGATCTGGTTCTCTCCCTCTTTCTTTCTCTCTCCCTCCCTCTCTCCCCTGTACCTATTTCCTGTCCTCATCTCTGTTTCTTTCCCCCACACCTGAAATCAGTATCAGTCCCTGTGTCCTCACTTTTCTGCTCAAGGCACATGGCTGCATGGAGTTAAGGGCCCTGTCTTGCCTGCTCAATCAGTCCCTGTCCCACTGCCCTGTGGAATCCTTGTCACCCAGCTCCCAGGGAGCTCTCCTACCAGTCGCCCCAGCCTGGCCCAGGCCTCCTCGGGGGAGAGCACACCTGGGAGGCTCTGGCAAAGGTGGGCAGCCGCGGGGCGGGGGGGAGGCACCCAGATTGAGGCTGGGAAAGGCACCTACAGGGCAGATGGAGCCTAGGAGAGAAGGGGAAGGGGGAGCAGGAGGGGAGGAGGAGGACTGAACAGCAGGCAGGAACCCTCAGGTCACTGTTGGGGACAGGCTCGGGAGGGATGGAGGAGGGGTGCGTTGGGGGCACTTGGAGGGGCAAGCTGTGCCCAGCTCCGTGGACAATGCCCGCTTTGCAGACCATGGGCCCGGCTCAAGGCAGCCCTGAAGCCTTCTGGCGTGCGTCTGTCCCCCTCCCTGTGTCTTTCCTCCCAGAGGCTCTCGCCGGTCTCCCACCAAGTCACTCATGTCTCCCTGCTCTATTCTCCCCACCCTGTCACTTGTTCCTCCTCCCGGTCTCTCTGGTCCCCTCTTCCTCCCTCTGGCTCTCGGCTCCCTGCAACCCCAGCCGGCCCCTCCCCGCAGGCTGTCCGGACCGAGGGTGCGGGGCTCAGGAGGGCCTCAGGCCGTGGGGACTCGCTGGAGGGCTCTGTCCTGCTGGCTGAGGCCAGCTCGGGCCCTCAGCCCCTGCAGAAGGACATCAATATTTGCTCATCCTTCAGGAGGCTCAGCGGGGTTTTCCCTCAGAGAAAAGGGAAAACCCAAAGCCGCCCAGGCTGGGGACAGGGGTCTCAGAGGGTAAAGGAGGGTC